ATCAGCTCAGCTCCAGCTGCTGCACCACTTGGGGAGTGAATCAGTGGATGGAAGATCTTTCTCTCTGTCTCTCCTTTTCTGTAAATCTGACTTTCCAATAAAACATAAAAATAAATCTTAAAAAAATAAAATTCAGTTCTTCCTGTTAGTGTTTTTTGTTTTTGTTTTTTTATTTATTTAATTTTTTTAAGACTGACTGATGGATTGATTCGAAGGTCAGACAGAGAAAGAGAAAGAGAGCTTCCATCTTCTAGGTGATTCCACAAATGCCCTCCACAGCCGGATCTGGGCCAGAGACCTGGAACACTATTTAATCTCCCCCATGAGTGCAGGGACCCAACTACCTGGGTCCATCTCCTGCTGCCTTCCCTCCTGGGATCACCAGCACAGAGCTTTGTCAGAAGCAGAGCAGCCAGTACTCAAAGCAGTTCTTGGATTCAGGATGCTGGCATCACCAAAGGGCAGCTTAACCCACAGTGCCACAACACTGACACTCATGCATACTTTTCTGCAGAAAGGGTTTTACGAGCAGCACTCCCTCGGTAAGTCTTTTTCCTCAGCTGTCTTCCCACCAGACCTACCCTGCCACCTACACACCCGGCAGGCTGCTTCACACAGCGACCCTGTCATCACTGCTCACTTTCCAAAAGTTTCCAAACGTGCCACTTCACCATGCCATTCAGTCTCACTGACTCTGGATTCTAAAATGCAGCCCCTGGTCCCCAGTGTCCCGACATTCCTCTTTAGTACAAGGCTAGAAGTCTTAAATCTCTTTAAAAAAAAAAAAATGATGGCACAAAACCACAGTTTCTCGGTTTAGCAGCAGAGCTCCAAGAGAGAAGAGAAACTTGGGTCTTCAGCCCCCAAAAAGCAGAAGCAGAGATAGTCTATGGGGGCTTTCTACCCACAATCCCATTCCCCAGCGATCCCAGCCCGCTCGGTGGAGGCTGACCTCTCCAGGTACCTGGGAGTCCCACGTCTCTGTCCTCAGCCTCAGGGGGCGACTGATGCACTGCCACACAAGCGTGTCTTTGCCCATCCAGACAGGGTCCCTCTCTTCACCCCCGCCAGGCTAGCACACCCAGCACGGGGGTCACAGGCACCTTCCCTATGGTCTCCCCACTGCAGTCAGGGGTTCTGATCCAGAAAAGCCACCGCGGCACTCCAAGCACCCCCAATGGGCCTGGCACCATCTTGAGAACTGCAGCATCAGGCTCCTTCTTGGATTATACCCATTGTACAGACGGAAGAGTAGGTTGGGGACCTGTCCAGGATCACCTACTGTCACCAGGGAGCAAGGCCAGGAAGGGAACATCCATCTACACAGCTCCTAAGCCCCACTTGGCCCAAGCTCCATGAACAGACAGAGTTTGAAGGAAGAACCAGGCAGCCTGACCACAACCCTGCCCACCCTGGACAAGGGGAACAGCAGCAGGTCCGGAGGGGAAGTAAGAGGAGGAAGCGCAGGTGCAGCTCAAGGGTCATAGAGATGGGGTTCAGGGTCCGGCTCTGTTGCTTTAATCAAATCCTACACCATGGGCCTGGCCTGTGAGATGTGGGTTCCAGGGTCAGGCAGCCTGGGATCCAGCCCAGTCCTGGGCTCCATGTGACCCAGGGCAGCCCACTGACTCATACTATGCCTCAGTTCCCTCACCACCTGAGGGTGTAACAGGGAGATGGTGGGAGTGGACATTCAAGTGTTTGGGTAGTAAAAGGAGAACAGGGGCCAGCACCGTGGCTCCACTGGCTAATCCTCCACGTGCTGACACCCCATATAGGCACTGGTTCATGTCCTGGCTGCTCTACTCTACATCCAGCTCCCTGCCGGTGGCCTGGGAAAGCAGCGGATGGCCCAAAGCCCTGGGACCCTGCACCCACGTTGAGAAACCCAGATAAATTGCTCCTGGCTCCTGGCTTCAGATGAGCTCAGCTCCTAACCACTGCACAGTCATGTAGAGAGTAAATCAACAGATGGAGGATCTTTGTCTCTCCTCTCTGTAATTCTGCCTTTCAGATAAATACATAAATCTTAAAAGAGGAAAAAAAAACAAAAAACAAAAGGAGCACAAGCACCTGCTCCTTTGTGGCGGTGACAGTCACTGCCATCATCCTTACCCGGCCGTGCACAGAGCTCACAGCAGCCAGCCTCTCCATGCCACAGCGTCCAAACGTGGCCATCCCAGGCAAAGAGACAGCCCTGGTCACCATGGGCCGCACCCTCCGTGCCACTGCTCAAGGCAGAGAGACCCATCGCCACTCACAAATCACCCTTCACAGAACCCCTGGGGAACAAGGAGGGGTGTGGTCCAGTTTCAAGGTGGAGAAAGATGACAAGAAACAAAGGCCCAGGCCTGGAACCCGACAAAACCACCAGTTCCTGTGGCCGGAGTTGACTGAGTCAAAAGGAAACTCGCTCAGAAGCACTGTCCTTTTTCTCAGCCCTCACTTCACCTAGGCAGCCCTCCCTAACTGCCCTGCCCTGTGGATGCTAAAGCCCCATTCTCCAACCAACATGTACTAGTAGCATTTCTGCAGCCCACTGCTTGCCAGGCACTGTTCCCGAACGTTTTCTATGAATGTAAAGAATTCACCTGCCTCTTTAAGAACTCTAAGATCTGGGATCTTTGCCCATTTTACAGATAAGGAAAGTTAAGGCTCAGAAAGGTTAAGCCACTGGGCCCCAAGAGGGTGGCTCCAGGGCCAGGCCTGTACTTAGGGCTTTGTTCTCTACACTACTGTGCCACCTTCATTAGACCCCAGCCCTGGTACTGGGCACCTCTCACAGTCTGCCAGAGTCTTCCAGCTTCCACCAGCAGTCAGGCTGTCACTCCAACATCCCAGTCTCCATGTGTCCTTTGCAGGAATGGAGGAATTGCCGGCATTCTACCAGCTGGGAGGCTGGGGGGAATATCCTTTAGGCAGCACAATGACTGGGGAGAGAGGGTGAGGACTCAGGAGAATCAGCCTGCAGGCAGAGCGGAGCGGCTCCCCCCACAGCTTGTTCCCCCTAGCAGTCCCCATTCCCAAAAATGCCCTGGGAGGGGGTGGGGGGCAAGAGGCACAGCTGGCTCAAGTCCCTCTCAGGCACCAGACTGGGGACACACCAAAGGACATGGCAGACAGGAAACCTGGCCCCCCTCTCCTCTACATCCCCCCACACGCCACCCTGGTTTACAGGTGCAGAAGCTGGGGTCAGCACAGATGCCCTGGGTCATCAGAGAAGAGCTGGACCCCAAGCTGCCCTGCCACCTGCACCCACAGCCTTGGACTGAAAGCACTCTAGGACACCATGCAATTAGAGCCATCATTCCTTTTGTCTCCCTCATTCTTTAGTAAGAATGGTTGATGCCAATCTGTGTCCATTATCCCTGCCCACTCCGGCTGGGGGCCCAGGAGTGTGGGGGAGCCAGGGCTACTTCTTCCTCCCATTAATAAAAATTGGTCAGCTTCCTGATGTCCCACGGCAAAGAGGAGGCGCAGGAGGGAGCGGCTGGGGCTCTCGGGGAGACCGCAGGGCTTTTCTGCGCCCAAACCCAGCAGACAGCTTCTGAAACTGTGAGAGAGGAAAAGCTGAGGAGAGCTAGCTAAGCCCGCCTGATTCTCACTGGCCAAATGGTTTTCAAAGCCTGGGCACACGACCCTCCCCCTGGGCGAGGGCGCGCGCGCGCGCGCGCACACACACACACACACCTTTCACTGGGTTGGGGTCTGGAGTTGGAACTCGGACCACACACAGCCTTAGGTTGCACCCCCCACCCTAAATCTCCCACAAGCCAAGAACACTGAGGGGATCCCAGAAAATCCCTCTGTCCCGAGTCTGGGAGCTGTGGACTCCAGGGTCTTCCCAAACAGCCCTGGCTCTCACACCAGCCCTTCCAGAACCGGGATTAAGACTAGCTCAGAACCGAGAGGGGAAGTAAATGAGGACCCAGCAGGAGGCCCCGAGATGAAAGCGGCTGCACTCTCTAACTTCCACCCCAGGTCCAGCCCCCACTCCACCCCCTCTCTCCCCACCCCCTTCCCCTGCCACTTTTCGCACTTCCTAGGACAGCAGGGAAGTGGCCCCCTTCCTCCGCCTCGTAGAGTGAAAAGGGGAGAAAAAAAAAAAAAAACAGTTTCCAACAAGCGCTGGTGGGGGCTGCTGGGCTGCTGGGGTTCAAAACCTAGTGTGAACCCGCACAAGCTCCTCCACCTCTCTGACACTAAGATCGTCCCTGTGCAAAACAACCAGAAAACTCGGCTCTCCTCCACGGGTTGATCAGCCGCTCAAGACGCGAGGCGTTCCGCACACAGAGTGATTTCACAAGCCTGAGGCTGTGGTTTTGCAGCGTGGAGATGGAGGGGGTAACGGGGTGGGGGTGGCAGTCTAGACGGTCCCCGTCTGGATTAGAAACCCACTCTGCCACGGGGACTCGGGCACGAGGACGTGTGCACGGTGGGCCCTTCTTCGCACGGTGAATGCGGAGAAGGAAGGGGTCCCCCACCCTAGGGGGATCTGTGCATCCCGGACACCGGCTCGGGACCTCGGATCTGACCCTACTCTGCTGGGTTTGCGGAGGGCGCAGGGAGCCGAGGTGTCTAGGGTCTGCCCCCACCCCAGCAGCAGTCCACCGCGACCCCGGCAGACAAGTTGCTTTCACAGAGGGAAATAAAATCAGACGCTGCAGCGAAAACTCCCGGTGCCTGGGTCCCAGAGCCCCTGCTTCACGGATGTAACTAATTTTAAAACTATTCGAAAGAGGGAGAGGAGAAGAAAAAGACAAAAGGGCAGCGCGGGGGGGGGGGGGAGCAAAGTGAGGGGAACGGAGCGCGCGAAACCCGCGGCCAGAGAGACTACAGCGCAACTCAAGAGGAGCCCGGGTCTCCCCCCGGCTTCCCAGCGTAGCCCCCCGAGTTCCCCGGGGGACCGTGGCCACAGGTTGTGGCGAGCTGGCCCGCGCTCGGCTGCAGGGCGAGCGGCCGGAGCGGAGCTGCCCTGCTCTCGCAGGCAACAAACTCACCGACTGCAAGAAGCGCAAGGTGCCCACGTAGTCCCTCTCAGTGCCCAAGATCTCGTTGAGGACGCAGAGGCGGAGGCGCAGCTGGCGCTCGGACTCCCGGGCGGCCGCGCACGGGCCAGAGCCTGTACCAGAGCTGGACTCTGAGGGACCGGGGGCACAGGGGTCTGAGTGGGCACCCTCTCCGGCTCCATCGCCGCTGGGTTCGCTGCCGCCGCCGCCGCTATCGCTGGGCGCCTCCATGCTAAGCGCGCGGCCGCGGGGCGCCGGCTCCTTCCCCGCCTCCCCGCCTGCACCGCGCGCGGAGGTCGTGCCGAACGGCGGCGACTCAGGCGTCCAGGCGCCCCATCCCGGACGGGGCGCGCCGGCGGCCGGGCGCAGCAGCTGGCCCGGCGCTTGGAGCGGCGGGTGGGACCGGGGGGCGGGCACCCCCGGCAGGGCTGGGGGCGGAGGCCGGGCGAGGGGCGGAGGGGGGCCGGCCCTCGGGGCTCCCAGACGGCGGCCACCCACCCCCCCACCCCCGGCTGCCGCCAAGGGAGCGTCTGCCAAGTGCCACGCCGCGCTCGGCCGCAGAGGCGCTCGGCGCGCGCCCGGGGCCCCCCGAGAGGAAGCGCGGCGGCGGTCGGCGCCTACGTCGGAAGCTCTGCGCGCTGGCGCAGGGGGACCGGCTGTGGGGCGCTCGGGCCGGGCCCCCCTCCCGGAAGGGCCCGGGGGAGGCAGCGCGCGCACGCCTAGGCCAGCGTGCCCGGTCGGCGCCGGGACGCGTGGCGAGCCGCTGCGACCGCCACCACCGCCACCCCAGCCGCCGCGAGCTATGCCACTCCCACCCGGCACACGCGACACCACCCGCGGCGCGCAGCCACACGCACGCAGGTCGGCCGCCGCCGAAGTGGGAAAGCTCGCCGCAGGCGCGCCCCCAGTGCTCCCCACCTCATCCCTTTAGCACCCCCCGGGAAGGAAGAGAGGAGGCAGTGGCCTGCGCGTGCGGTGACGCCGCTGCCGCGGGACGCTCGAGCTCAGGGGTGCCCTCAGGCCATACCACGACCTTGGAGAGGATCCCACGTGGCTGGCACAGGCCCTGTCTTCGTTTTTCTGCTCTCTATTTGAGAACTTCTTTGCCCTTTGACCCTGACCTCTACACCATTCCCAGGACAAAATGTGAGCTGCCTCGGAGCTGCTAAGCCAGTGGTCGGTGCCTGTCCTTCCCTCCTCCCCCATCCACCCAGGCCAGGCCTCGCGTCTGGCTGCTCCAGGTGACCCTGGATCCTGGAATCACTAGACCAATGTCCTCACCTGCCTTCAAGCACCGGATTGCGAGGTGAGATTCTAAGGAGAGCGAGGCTGCTGCTGCTCTAGTTCAAGCCCAGCTCCTTTGCTTGCTCCCATTAGTGACCCGGGTTGCTTGCCAGCACTCCGAACCCTCAGTGCGTTTGCGGATGCAGTGGGGATAACCGGTCCGTGGAAAGTACTTGGAGCAGCGCCCAGACCCTGGCCAGCTCTCTGCAAATGTTTGTTCTTCGTTATTGTTGTCGCATGCGTGAATTGCCCTCGTGGTCTGGCCCCTGCCTGAACTGCCCTCACCCACCTGCTTGCTGGCCAGGGGTCACATTGTCTGTGCAATGGATTCCCTGACTCAGAGGGGATCCCCTGTGGGGCAGGAGTCTTCCTGCTTTGCTGTCTCTGTCCCAAATACCCAGGCTTGTCTTCAAAGTGAGCTCGGGGTAAATACTGCAGGTGCCTCCCAGCGCCACCTAGGGTCGTGCTCAAGGTGAGGTTGGACCTGAGCCCCAAGGGGATCTTCTGGGCAGGGTGCAAGATGTAAGGCTGTGAGGCTGGTAGTGAAAGCAGTTGCAGGCATAGATGACTGGCCTTTGGGGTGAGTCTCCAGTGCAGCTCTGTGCTATGGAAACCCTGGGCTGCTCATGGTCCCTCTCTGAGCCTCAGCTGCTTATCTTTAAGTTGATCCGTTTAGCACCGGACATCCCCTGAAAGAATGCCGGGTTCCAGTCCCAGCCACTCCACTTGCAGTACAGCTTCCTGCTGATGCCCCTGGGACAGAGCAGGTGGCAGTTCCTGTCCTGGAGTCTGTGTCACCTCCGCGGGAGACCCACCCACACTGAACTCCAGCCGCTGCTGTTGGAGGGATTTACCTGTCTCTCTGCCTTTCAAATAAAGTTAAAATAAATGAATGAACATGTTTTGCTTAAAAAAAAAAGAAACATAATCCTGGTACCACAAGGATTGAGTATAGTGGAAGCGTCGTGAACTGTGGAAGGAAAGAAGCTTAGGTGTGGGTTCTAGCCCCAAACCTGTCTCGGCGACTTTGGCTAAATTCTTTTACTTCTCTGAGCCTCGATTGTCTCATCTGTAAACATAGCAGTCTTTGCAAAAGCAAAACATATGTGCACGTGGAGGTCAGCTCACTCTTGGGGTGCGTTCTGTGGACTGTAGGGCATGGAGCAAGCAGCATCCTGCACCCAGTAAAAGCCAGGAGCACCCCCTCCCCAACTGCCGGGAACGTCCCTGGACGTAGCTGACTGTCCCCAAGAGCGAGGCAGATGGAACTGCCCTATGATGAGAGTCACTGGTGCATACACAGTACCTGGCAGCTGGCAGCCGGTGGGTGCTCAGCAAACACTGTTGGAGCAGGAATCCCAGCCAGTGCACACACGGATCCCACGCTTCCCCTAAGAATGGACGGGCGCAGCCAGATTGTCCAGTGACCCGTGGTGCACTGAGACACAGCCCATCAGCACTCATTGGCTCAGTTCCTGCCTGGAGAACTGAATCCACTGGTGTGCGTGCAGTTGCAGGAAGGTGCCTCAGAACGCGAGGACAGAGTTTGTGTGGCAAGAGGGCCAGGCAGTTCAAGCATTAAAGCACCACTGCCTTCCTCATCATGGTGGTTCTTTCTCTCAGGGTTTGGGGCCTCATTGTCACAAGGTGGCTGCCAAGGTAACATCATTTCACACAACTCCAAAGCAGCAAACCAAAGGACAGAAGAGACCCCTCTTGTGTCCTCATTTAGAATGTCAGTGCCACTCATGCCACAGTGGTCACATGGCCACTCCTGAATGGGCCACCACCATTAGCTTTGAGGAGACCCCCCGGGACATAGCTGTCTCGACAGCTTGGGGCTCTGATACCGAGAGAGAAAAACTTGGTATCTCCCTCGGGTGTCTCCAAGCACGTAGTATGCTCATGCGGGCATTGGGACACACAGTGGGCATTTGAGCTGTGCCAAGGCACGGAAAGAAAACAAAGCAGCAAAGTTATAAGTGCTCCTGCAGCCAGCACCATCTCCACAGGGGAAACACATGCCGAGGAGTCAGACACACAGCGGGCTGCTCGCATGGTCCGCTTAAGGAGTATGAGTTGAGGACCTATACTCTGCAACCCTGGGACAGCAGAAAGGGTGGGAGGCCGCCCCTCACCCCCAAACCAACCTCCGCCTGGAATCGTCACAGCTCTTGGCAGCGTCACCAGGGACTCCCTGGGTTGAGGGCCTGCCTAGCTGCCTCCCAGCTGAGCCTGGCACAGCACAGCTGACTAAGCAGGCATAAGCTGAGGGTGTCCTCCTATTCCCATTTCAACCCTTATCTCTCACCTCCCTCTTTGCCCGGCACCACACTGCTCCCTCCAGACTGGGGAGCTCTCGGGTCCCATGTATACCAGGGCAGGATCTCCAGAGTCTGTAGCTGGGAGACAGTCCCCGAAAGAACAGGGCAGAAGGGAAAAACAACAGCCAACCTTTCAACTCCTGATAGGGGAGGGGAGAAAAGCAATGCTGATAAGAGCCGGTGGGGGAGATTGTCCTCGGTGGGGAGCAGTCTCCACAGATCCTGGCAAGTCCATTTCCCTGGGGTTGCAAACATTTCGCACTTGGTTGGGGAGAGGAATAGTCCCAGGCACCCTGATGAGAACTTATCAGGCTCTGCCAGCCTGGGGCCTGGGGGCCCGCCCCCACAGTGCTGTTTGAAGGAGGAGGGTACTCTGCCTGGTGCTTGAGACACCCACACCCCAAGTCCTAGTGTCTGGGTTACTGACTCCAGCGCCTGACCCCAGCTTCCCGCTAGCGATGGCTCAAGCAACTTGGGTTCCCATCACCCAAGAGAGAGACTGGGATTGAGTTCTGGGCTCCCAGTTTTAGGGTGTTTGGGAAGCAGCAAGCAGATGGCCGCTCTTCCTGTCTATCCCTCCCCTTACCTCTCTGTCTCTTAAATAAATCAATGACTTCTAAGTGGAAAAAAAAATCAATTAAGGCAAAGTAGGAAAAAAATAGGGGATGATTAAAAAAAAAAAAAACTTTATTTGAAAGAGTTACAGAGAAAGGAAGAGACAGAGAGGGAGATCTTCCTTTGTCCTGGTCTGAAGCCAGGAGCTTCACCTGGGTCTCCCAAGTGGATGCAGGGATCCAAGCACTTGGTCCACTACTTTTCCCAGGCCCATTAGAAGGGAGCTGGATTAGAAGTGGAGCAGGTGGAACATGAACCAGCACCAATGTGGGTTGCCAGTATTTCAGGTAGTGGCTTTACCTGCTAGGCTACAGCACTGCCCTGGAATGACTTTTTTCCCACTCAATGTTGAATGAGCCAGGTGAGAGTTGAATTATCACCTGCCCAAGAGGGCCAGTCATTTCCCAAATGCAAATGAAGTCAGGCCCACTGCTCAGATGCATAACGGAGATAGATGCATCCAGGGCTCTCCAGTTCTGCCAACCGTTTTCCAGCCAGGAATGCCTTGGAAGAAGTAGAAGGGGACCCTTGGTGAACCCCACCCTACCAGCAACACCCCTGCCTGCCTTCCCAGCCTTCAGACACCGTGCAAGCTTCAGAGACCCGCTGTCCTGCTTCAGCTCTCGCCACTTCCCAACTGTGACTTTTGAGCAAATGATTTAACACCTTGGCGCTTCACTGCCCCCATTTGTAAAAATAAGGCCAGTAAGAGCAGCACCCTCCCAGAATTTTTGTGCAAATAAAAATGCTTGACAGAAGAGGCACAGAGTGTGGCTCAATGGCTAAATCCTCACCTTGCAAGTGCTGAGGTCACACGGGGCACTGATTCACGTCCCGGCTGCTCCATTTCCCTATTGACTCCCTGCTTGTGGCCTGGGAAAGTCATAGAGGACTGCCCAAAGCCTTGGGACCCTGCACTCAAGTGGGAGATTTGGAAGAAGCCCCTGGCTTCAGATCAGCTCAGCTCCAGCTGTTGCGGCCACTTGGAGAATGAACCAGTGGATAGAAGATCTTTCTGTCTCTCCTTCACTTTATAAATCTTTTTTATTGTTGTTGTTAAAGAAATCTTCTGTATTATTTAAGCCAATGAGC